GATGGAAATGGTTTGAACGTAATTGGGCTGACCGCCCTGAATGGATTGACGAGGCGAAAAGAATCGTCCACGATGTCTGGCGCTTTGAGTATAGACAGGCCACCTCGCCTGGAGAAGAGCCATCAGCTGCTGAGCTGGCTCTTAAGCAGCAGCGGAAGACTTCGGACAATCCGTTCCAGGAATATCTTAAACGAAACCGCTTCACGTCGCCAGATGCAGGTCAAGATGGCGTCACGCCGGTCGAGGATGAATATCTCCATTGGATTACGTACTGCGAAAGCGGCGATGGCTCCATCGACGATCCTCTGGCTTACTGGCACGAGAAGCGCCGCAAGTATCCAAACCTATCGCGAATGGCGCTTGATTATCTCACGATACAACCAATGTCTGCTGAGTGTGAGCGTCTTTTCTCGGCAGCAGGTCGGATGGTGAGCCCTCTGCGCCACCAACTTGAAGCCCAGATTATCGGGATGTGCCAGGTATTGCGCTCATGGCTGAGGGCGGGCATTATCCATGGCTTAGATCCCTTCTTTATTTCGGTAAACGAAGAACCAGTCGATAGCGAATTAGCCCAGATGTCTGAGCAAGAGCTCGAGGCATGGGCAACAAAGTGGCTTACTCAGATTACGAGCGTTCAAGAGGAGATGGAAGCTAGTTGGGGATAAGTCTGGCTTGGATGTTGGAACAAGGGAGACGGGTCGCCAAGCCTTCGGGGATATCTTCACCGGCGCCAGGCTTTCTATCCATACACGTATAAGTTAGTTATTCCATACGTCATATGGAATATGTTGTATGGATTATTCCATACGGCATGATCGTATTCCATACGTATGGAATATGACGGAACAATATTTTTCCCTCCGGCGGTCACAACCCAGGAAATTCTGTTCATTTTAGAAACGTTCATCCGACACACAATTGAGAGAGGGGAGTGAATGAAGAGCTGGATCAAGAGCGGGATAACGCAGGGGATAGCAGTAGATTTGCTGGACCAGGATGATGACAATGGTGATGGCACAGAAGATGAGGAAGCGGCCGAATGGATTAATTCTCCGAATCCTTCATTTTAGCTTAATAAATGACGTCATTTTCTGTATTGCCATACGTATGGAATACGTTCCATACAGGCTGCAGGCCCGTAATCCATACGAAAAACCTTCCATATGGAATATGGAATATGGATAGAAAGCCTGACCGGCGCTTTGCCAACTCACTCCTAATCCACCCAATACACCCAATCCACAATAGCTTCCAGTGGATCCACTATATTGAGATAGTGGATTATGATCTACCCACTACACTCGAGCACCCAGTGGATTGAGTGGAGTGGCTTTCAACCCTGGCTCGCGGACTTACAATCAGTTCTCAACTGATATGTTGACGTCCCCTATTTCGAGGTCATATCAATCTTTAACATAGGTTTTCACTAGCATTCACTTCAACCAACCAATTAGGTACCTAAACTGGGACGAGTCTTACCAAATTC